GGTGGTGGACCATTCTTGATACACACAGGAAACTGTTGAGCGTGAAAAACCCAACAGCGTTGCAGTTCTTGACACACTCAAACTGGTGCTTCTGGCACCTACTACCATACCCCGTTCAAAGGCACCTAAATATTTTGTCTTGCCCATTCACCCTCTGAATGGCACACATACACAATCCATGTCTCAAGGCTTTAAAATCCTTCTTTAACCTGTCTCCTCCCCTTCACCTACACTGATTTGAAGTGGATTTAACAGGTGACATCAATAAAGGATCATAGCTTTCACCTGGATTCACCTGGTCAGTCTGTCATGGAAAGAGCAGGTGTTCTTAATGCTTTGTACACTCAGTGTAGTTTGGATGGGCCAGCTGGGCAGGCAACTGACCAATTTTAACATAACAAATGCATGGATTTAGCTATTTCTTATTCGTTATGGAATATTTACACAATTGAAATATCAAAGTCAGTATATGACGGTCATGGCCATTCTAGTAGTTATGTCATTCCGGCACTCCAACTGTTAACAACTTAATAGTTAAGAACCCTATAACAATATGGAAGAAAATGAAACAGATTCTACAAAAACTAATTTCACTCCCAAAAAACACAACCTTATGGAACAATCCTTGGATAGCTTTTCAGAATGCACCGATAAATTGGTACACATGGTAAACTAAAGGCATAGAAACCATAAATGACTTGGTAATAGGAAATACATTTCCATGACAGAATTAAAAAGCAATTTTGGACTGACCAACGAAGATATTTTCAAATGCATGCAACTTAAAAGTTTCAAATCACGACATTTCGATTTGAAAAAAATTTGGACATCAGAGCAATTTTAAGGGAATCCTATCTGAGTCAGAAAAGGATATTCATATGATAGGTAAGATATACAAAAGGTTGCAGAGCGCCTATCTAACTGACTACCTCTTAAAAAATATAAACTATTGGAACCAAGACTTAAAAATAATTGATATTGGCACAAGATGGAGGTAATGTTGGAACATAACTAACAAAAATGTACTCTTAATCCATTACAAACTAATGTAGAGAATTGATTATACAAGACAAAATTCACAAATTCTACAACACGACAGTGTCATGTCTTAAGTGTAAAACTAACAATGACCCAATAATCCATGCCTTCTGGGAGTGCTATAAAGTCCAACAGTTATGGGCGGCGTTACAAATTTGGTGGGCACAAGTATTACAATGTAAATGTACTTTTAATCCGTCTGTCTGCATATTTCAAGACATGTCATATGAGGGTGCAGTGAGATACCCGATGGGTTGGATGATACACTTCTCGTCAATTATCTTGAAAAAACGTATACATAAAAACTGAAAACTAACCAATCCTCCATCGTTAAGACAATTTAAAAATAATATGCTTAATTATCTAAATATTGAAAGGGCATGGGCGATGGAGAGGAACAAAAAGGTGCAATTTGAGGACGTGGCAGAGAGTAGTGCAGGCACTGGAGATAGGGGGAGAACAGGTGGGTCTAGGCAGGTGTGATGTCGTTGATTTTTGTGTATGTCTGTAGGTTGTCTTTTGTATATGTAAAATACAAATCGTTAAATTTTTAAAAAATGTTCTCTGTACTTTGTAGCTATGCGTTTTCATATACACTACAGTATATATACAAAAGTATGTAGACACCCCTTCAAATTAGTGGATTCGGCTATTTCAGCCACACCTGTTGCTGACAGGTGTATAACATCGAGCACACAGCCATTCAATCTTCATTGACAATCATTGGCAGTAGAATGGCCGGTACTGAAGAGCTCAGTGACTTTCAACGTGGCACCGTCATAGGATGCCACCTTTCCAACAAGTCAGTTCATCAAATTTCTGCCCCTCTAGAGCTGCCCTGATCAACTATAAGTGCTGTTATTGTGAAATGGAAACATCTAGGAGCAACAGTGGATCAGCCGTGAAGTGGTAGGCCACACAAGCTCACAGAACAGGACCGCCGAGTGCTGAAGCGATTAAAAATGGTCTGTCCTCGGTTGCACCACTCACTACCGAGTTCCAAACTGCCTCTGGAACGTCAGCACAAGAACTGTTAGTCGGGAGCTTCATGAAATGGGTTTCCATGGCCGAGCAGCCGCACACAAGCCTAAGATCACCATGTGCAATGCCAAGCGTCGGCTGGAGTGGTGTAAAGGTCGCCGCCATTGGACTCTGGAGCAGTGGAAACGCGTTCCCTGGAGTAATGAATTACGCTTCACCATCTGGCAGTCCAACGGACAAATCTGGGTTTGGCGGACGCCAGGAGAATGCTACCTGCCCGAACGCATAGTGCCAACTGTAAAGTTTGGTGGAGGAGTAATAATGGTCTGGGGCTGTTTTTCATGGTTCAGGCTAGGCCCCTTAGTTCCAGTGAAGGGAAATCATGTTAATGCTACAGCATACAATGACATTCTAGACGATTCTGTGCTTCCAACTTCGTGGCAACAGTTTGGGGAAGGCCCTTTCCTGTTTCAGCATGACAATGCCCCCCCCCCCCATGCACAAAGCGAGGTCCATACAGAAATGGATTGTCGAGATCGGTGTGGAAGAACTTGACTGGCCTGCACAGAGCCCTGACCTCAACCCCATCGAACACCTTTGGGATTAATTGGAATGCCGATTGTAAGACAGGCCTAATCGCCCAACATCAGTGCCCGACCTCACTAATGCTCTTGTGGCTGAATGGAAGCAAGTCCCCGCAGCAATGTTCCAACATCTAGAGCAAAGCCTTCCCAGAAGAGTGGAGGCAGTTATAGCAGCAAAGGTGGGACCAACTCCATATTAATGCCCATGAGTTTGGAATGAGATGTTCGACGAGCAGGTGTCCACATACTTTTGGTCATGCAGTGGAGGAGGCAAACTACATTGGTGGCGTTCCAGGCCAACTACATCGCAGATGTTGCGTTGCATTGCATCAACCAATGGTTGCGTGCTTCGTCATCAACTGTGGAGTTGGGCATCAGATTGCAATATCATACGATGTGGTTAGCGGATATATTAAACCCATACCCAGTTGTTGTGAGATCTGGCATGTGTCTGCAATGTAGTCAGCCTGGAACGTGACCATTGCCTTATCTCCAGTGCTTTAAGTGACTGTTAGAGCCTGGTAGAAACTAACTAGTCACCTCTCAGCACATGTCCTCTAGACACTATAAAACTTATATAAATAAAATCAAAATATCCAGACAACAACTGGATTCTATTTCTATACATTATAGAATATTTCTATACATCACTGGGGCCAAGCTTCCTGCCATCCAGGACCTATATACTAGGCGGTGTCAGAGGAAGGCCCAAAAAATTGTCAAAGACTACGGTCACCCAAGTCCTAGACTGTTCTCGCTGCTAGCGTACGGCAAGCGGTACCGGAGTGCCAAGTCTAGGTCCAAAAGGCTCCTTAACAGCTTCTACCCCCAAGCCATAAGACTGCTGAACAATTAATAAAATGGCCACCCTGACTATTTGTATTGACCCCCCCTTTGTTTTAACACTGCTGCTACTCACTGTTTATTATCTATGCATAGTCACTTTACCCCTACCTACATGTACAAATTACCTCGACTAACCTGTACCCCCGCACATTGACTCGGTACCGGTACCCCCTGTATATAGCCTCATTATTGTTATTTTATTGTGAGATATATATATATATATATATATTTATTTTTCACTTTAGTTTATTTAGTAAATATTTTCTTAACTCTACTTTCTTAAAACTACATTGTTGGTTAAGGGCTTGTAAGTAAGCATTTCACAGTAAGGTCTACACCTGTTGTATTCGGCGCATGTGACAAATAACGTTTTATTTGATAAAACTCTCCTTTAATTAATATGCCTCTTAACCTAATACTGTACTAACACCAGTTCATTATATATTAAATGTTAAATTCTGTAAATATAAAACACTTGTTGTGAAAATGTTAAACCATGATGTCAAAAAGCCTTTCATATCTTTGCAGTCCCTGCAGCTTTAACATTTTATCTGCAAGCGCATGCTGGCGCGCACACAATTACAGTGATTTTGTTTAAGTGATGGGGATTTCAGAAGTGGGACAAACCTAAAGTAATAATTCAATTAAAATGTAAGTATTACCAATTTCTGTTCTAAGATACTCCAAAACAGCTCCTAAAGAGCGATTAAACATAACCCCTTGTGAATCCCCTGTATAACTCCATCCCCTCTATACTCCAAGTGTACAAAATACAAAAGGTAACTTGATGGTAGATATTTAGAAGTAATTACTAACTAATTTGGACAGTACATTTGTTTTAATCATGGTCACAAAATGTTTTGTTGGGGGGCCCATATCTCAATTTTGCATGTACTTTTACACAGAGGAATTGTTCTAACACATTCTTGTATGCACACACATTCTCAGGTAGCACAATAAATACCAACCTAGTTTTCTTTGGCATTATGTGTGCATTATCTTAAAACATCTCCTGAATGCAAGGATTAAAATGAAACTGGAATCTAAACACATCCTGGTCTTAATTTCCACATATCATCTCCTAAAATAAGAATAATTTATCATAATATACTTTAAGCATCTACACAATCATTTATCAAGCCATGCTTTTTTTAGAGTTTCAAAAAGAGATACATTTGGCTCTATGGTGGTACATAGTGCTTTAATCAGACATGAACTGAATAAAATGACAGGGTCAGTTCATAAATGAAAGCAATAAAAATGTGCAATATTGGACAATAGCGATAAGATATTTTGCAGACTTCAGTGACAGATGACATAAAGCTTCCAGTACTTGACCTAAATGCCCCTCAAATAAGGGGACTCATAACCAAAGACACTGTAGTCCATCCAGACCATTCCACATTGCAGCTAATCCAAGTAACAATCAACAGGCCATGTCAAATCACTTGGCTGAACATAAACATAACTTGAAAATCATGACCAGCCCATCAGAACAGAACCATTGTTGCATAGATGAACTACAGTTCAATAGGGATCACTACACACCGAAGTGTAGGGTCCTTTCTTGCGCAGAACATCTGAATTAAGTTGAACGGTGGTCCAGTCTGCAGCTAACAGGCACTGCCACTCCAGAGCACTGCAACAAGGGGAATACTGGATTCCATTTCAAAGCAGCACCCTGAAACAGCAAACAATAAGTGCTCAATTCATTGGTACCCAACACCCAGATACACAATGTGAGACCTACAATGTGCTCAAGCTACTGTATTTAATGGATGCACTTTCAATCAATGACCTTGTGGGTTGAATGTTCTTAGGGGTAGAAAAGTTGCTATTCACTTGGTCCAGGGTTGCATTCCGATCCTTTACCCTTCTACCCAAAGTATACACTTGCTTACACCCCACCATGGAGTTAAATGCATTGGATTAGCGTAAGCATGGGCTAGGGAGTTTCCCTTTTACACCAGTCCATTCCTTCTGACATCCATGAGGGGTGAAAGAGTGCACACTTCAGAGAGAAGGGTAGAGAATCAGACTACAGCACTAGCCTGCACCTCCATGTTATGCAGAAGTGTAGTACTGAGCCCATGTGTGTTGTTATACAGAATAATTTCAGATCAATAGGAGCTGAACTAAGAATGACAATAATCCCCAAATTAGATGAAATTCTGTAAAACATTGATTGGCCACTCAATGAGAAAAGGCTACAGGTACACTCCAAATCACTCCAATTCACCCCCCTTTATATCCAAGGCGACAACGGACTGTTCCATTTAGGACGCACGAATTTGGAGGAGATCGGATTGACATTTAAACTAAATCTGTTATTCCATCTGAAATGTGAAACAGAGGAGTCCTTCTCATAACTGAACAGCCTTGCATAACTGACAGCTCTGCAGACAGAGCACACTTTTAAGTCAAATGTTTAGTTAGCATGGATTAATTATGTCACAGGGAGTTTAGGTGGGACTGTTTGATGATGTCACATAGAATGAATCCCTGTGTAAATTCTTCAGCTCTGGGAAGATTGCTCAAGGGCCCGCTATACTATACGACTCATCCAACTTCATAGATACTGAGAACAATGCACCCTCCAACCCCAATCAGTTCAATCACTTCTAGTTGGGCCCTTTCTCAATGTTATCATAGAATTCTCAACTTAACATTTCACTTCAATTTACCATTGTTTAGGGTAAGATAAAAACAATTGAGATTAAAAACAAATTAATATTGAAGAGTTGCCTCTAAACCGGATGCATTTGAGAAAGATCTCGTTTGTACTCAGTGTGACTTTTAATAATCTTGGATGTATATTACCTGTATCAGGTGAATTTAGTGTTGTGCAACTGAAATCCTCCTGTGTGCAATGACTCCACATATTGCAGAGCACTTTGCATAGAGGTCAAGCAGTAGCCCTCCTCTCCAATCAGATACCTGAGATAGAGAAGAACCGTTAGAACTCTCTGCACCATCATTGTACAATTTACAGACAGATCAATAAAAGAAAATCAGCATTGCAGATTGAGTGATTGAATACCAACACCTGATATTTTATTAATTTATTCCATTTTGCTCTTAACAACAAATCAACGCTCACATCATTCAATCACATTTCCTTCTGAGGATTATCATAAAGATGGTTTTATGCAACAAGTTTCCTCCTCATATCCGACCATACCATGACTAAACAAGGCAAATGGTCCAGTAAAACAATAGGTTTTTTCCTGGCCCATCTGTATGTAAAAGGGGAGGGAAGAGCAGATTCGTGGGGAGGATGAAAAGGCAGGATAGTAAGCAGGGTGGAGGTTTTCTTAAGGGAGCAGTGAAAGGCCTGAGCCTCAAGTCAACTCTGGGTGACCTTAAGTTAATGAGACCAAGACACGAGAGCAACTCAAGCCAGGGCAATGTGTGTGTGAGAGTGAGTGAATGAGTGAGTGAGAGAGAGAGGGAGAGAGAAAGAGAGATCGAAAGATATCTATCCCTAAGCGTCTATGGTGGGGGTGGGCAGGGGGCTGCGTGCTTTTATAGGAATGTAAATAACATCTCCCCATCCTCTTTACTTTTTGATGAGTCATTCTGGAAATCACAGCAATAATTCCTACATGGGGGCCCACCTCTGTAGGGCCTTGGACCCAGTGAGCCCAGCCTTCCCTACACTCTGCTCTTCCAAACCACTGAGCTGCATAAACATCAAGTAGGCTTTTATTTGTATTTTTATAGGGAAGGAAAACCAAACCAGAATATCCCCACATTCCTTCATAACTGCCAATCTAACCAGCTTGTTAAAGGCTGTTTTTACTAAGATAAATAGAGCTCTCGGGTGTGGTCTGAGCTGACACGCAAGGGGACCCTGATACAGACTAAGCCAGAGGGTGACAGTCTCCAGAGTCAGGAGTTGAGATTGGAGGGGGAGAGTAGCGTATCGCAGGTGCAATGGAGTTGGGGACACGTTTTCTGTGAGGTGAACTTGGCTTTAAGTGTGTGTAAATTGGAGACCTACCCTTCATGAATGAACTCCTCCAGGGCAGCACACTCTGACACCAGCTGAGGCAGCTCACAGTGCAGAGCCACATAGGAGAGGATGGGCAACAAGTCATCTGCCCCACTGACAAAGAAACAGAAGAGGAGGATTTGTTTTAGAGAAAACCAAGTAATAACAAACAGTTAAAAATGAAATCAAATTCTATTTGAAATGGTTGTGTTAGAATATCAAGTGTTAAAAAAAGTATTATCTGTTGTGGTACACATTTCCACTGATGATAATGATAGCATCCCCACTGGTCCAGTGACCCTTGTTCATCACCCATCACACGCAATCACAGATTTCTTTGCGTGAGAAGGTGGATGACTGTCCCCTTACTGACCCAGCCAGAGGTAACCAAATCCCTGGCACGCAGGTTAAAAGAGGTGTGGACCGTGTCATATAACCCAGGGCTCACACTTTACAGTTTACACCCATAATCACAACACACGAAACCACCCCCTTATTAACTGTAAATACGCACTGACCCATACAAACACATTCCTAGAACCTTCAAATGAGTGTCTATAAATTCCAGTGTTAGCATAAATATCAAATTAAGGGGCAAACGTGAAGCGTCATAACACAACCAGTCATAGACAAAGTTGACATAATTGAAAAGCCATTACAGGGTTGTTTATCTAAAGAAATCGGGTCAAAATCAAAACTGAAATGGTCAATTTGAGAAAACAATCGAGATATTGAAAAAGAAAAAAGACAAAGTGAAGAGAGAAGTGTGAGGGAGAGAAAGAAAGCGAAATTGGAGTTGGTTCAGACAAAAGAGGATGGAGAGGACAAAATGAGCCCCACCTGGTCAGAAACAAAAGAAAGAACGAGACTAACAATGAATGAGGAAGTTGGCTGCAGACTGTGTGTGTGTGTGTGTGTGTGTGTGTGTGTGTGTGTGTGTGTGTGTGTGTGTGTGTGTGTGTGTTTGTGTTTGTAAGAAGGAAACTAAAGTGACAGGAAAAAAGGGAAAATGGATTGATAATGTTCACACATGCGTACTGCATTCATACTTTTATGTGAACACTTTTTAAAGTAATTAGTGAGAATAATGGTCACATTGAACCCATTAATTCTGCAGTCCCAAACTGACTCCTCAGAATAGGAAGCACTTCTTTCAATACTGTTGGAAACCTTTTTCTTAAATTGAAACACTCTGAACCTTAAGAAGCAATGGAGAAAAGATATTCCCCCCAAAAAAATTGACACTGCTGGAAACAGTATGCCATGTCCAAAACCAAACATCACCCCAAAATATATTGACTAGACCTAGCTGACTAAACTCTACTCCATGGTGAAGGAAGTTTCTGATGAACTCCACTAACAGAGTGGAGCAGAGACCAGGCTTTGTGGAATTCAGCTCCGACTACATCAATACAAGGAGACAGATATGGAGCATGAGCTTTTTTCTCAATGCCCCTAACAAACATTAATATGAGAGAAAATGAGCGAGACAGAGATTTGTTTTGTTGGTCCTGGGTTTGGGGGGGGGGGGGGGGGGGAGCATGGAATTGAAGCCCACATCCTCCAACAGTTTAGTTTTAAAGGCGCCTTGTATAAGCTCCTGCAATGGGCCTATGATGCAGACAGCCGTTTACTGGATGTCATTTAGGTAGCTTGTGGACTGGCTCTTAAATGTTTGTGATCTACCTCATCAGTTTCCTGCCTACACTAGCAAACCTCATTAAATCCTCAAGTAGCAGACCCCTAAATCAAGCAAACAACCCAGTAAACTTCCTCACTATATTACTCCCCCCACCCCAACCTCAAGCATGACTTAGCATCTACACTCTGTATTCCTTCAGTAGAGCTGCTTTCCCTCCCACGGCTCCTTGGCTAGCTGGGACCTGCCTGGGTAAGTTCCAGACAAGGCGACCCACTTTGAGGGTCGGCCAGGATGGGGCACTCTGCAGGGGGCAGTGATCCTTGGCCAGACCCCTGCTGCGCCTGGCCTTAGTGAGCCCTGATGAAGTCTGACAAGGCGACCACTGACTGAGGAAAATTATATTAGGATACTCCCCCACCCCCCCCCAAAAAAAAGTCTGTACCGTAAGTCCTAGTCTTTATAAAAGCACAAACAGAAGAATGGGGGGAAGAAATTTTGAAATATAAATAACTTTATTTGAAATGTGAGTGAGTGAGAGTGAGAGAGACCTGAGAGGGAAATCAGCATGGTCCAGCACGTGTGAGCATGTTCATATCCATAAAAGCAATGTTGTAGTATTAGACTCACATGGCTGCTGTTTTGGATTCCGGCTCATGAAGGCAGCAGTAGTCCTCAGCACAAGCACATATCAGACGCAATGTCCGAACTGCAACAGAACAGCAAGCAAAACAAAGGTGACTAATAGATAGGCATATGGAAAATATCAATAATTAGACCAAACAAGTCAATTCAGCTTCCAGCCTGTCTAAAATAAAGAACATTGTGTAGTGGATGTTATTGTGCCAGAGAGACATGGATTTTCCCCCCCATGGCATTCATTCAGCACAATAAACAATGGTGCTAGTAGAGATCAAATGCTTCCCTTGTATGAGCAATGTGAAGAACACTTCCCACACTATCATTGTCCAGTGAGGGTTTTAAGGGGCTCACTCACCAATGCACTCCAGCTTTCTCTGGGGACAGCAATCTCTGCACAGCAAGCGAAGCTCCTGCACTGCTGATTCATAGGGGTAGGAACCATGCAGCACAACAGGGTCCTGGGGGTACAGTTTCGATGCGACACCAACGTCACCAGGTGAGGCGTCCTGATACAGCCTCATACTGGACTCAAAGGACAGCTCCCTCTCTCTGTGGACCTTCCTGCATAGTCCAGCCAGGACACACAAAGATACAAGGGGTTACTATGACTAACCAACAGGTTTTGTGACATGATTGACACCAGCTGTCATACTGAACTACTTTCTAAATGGACAATAGATTGAATAGATCAACGAATGGTTGCACAACAAAGTTGTAACAGGTCTAGTAATCATCTCACTGCACTGATAGCATAATCAACAATAGAAGAAGAGGGAACAGTTTCTACTTGTAGCCTACTGACGCCATCTACTGACCACTGCCTGACATCCGACTCATTTTGCATACAAGAGATTTCAATCATCATCATCGCTGTCATTGTAAATAAGAATTTGTTCTTAACTGACTTGCCTGGTTAAATAAATAAAATAAAAATCACAAAATATGTGCATGTGATCAGAGCAGCAAAATACAGCGTTGGACTGGGTTTTAGTATAATGGCCATTAAAAGTGTAATTTAAGAAGTCTTATCAAACAGTGACTGTAAATTAAAAGACTAGAAAATTGTAATAAAGCAAAACGGAAGGGATGATGAGACTTGAAGCTGCATTACCTGAAGAGGACCAAAAGAGGGCTCCAGAGGGGAGTGAAGAAGGCTTCCTCTATGCTGGCCACACACAGGTCCTTAGAACTGGCCGTGTTCAGACACTCAAATGAGAGCAAACACAGAGACAACAGTTGATCTGGAACCCACAAACAAATATGTTCATTAATTTCGGTTGATATGTTTTCCATTAGAGAACACATCCCCTTGACATCTTTGCAAAACATTTCCTGATAAAGTGAGGTTTACTACTAACCAATGGCAATATGGATGTCCTTCACTATAGCCTTCAGGTGCTTTTTGAGAGCACGCATCTCCAAGTCCTGAACGAGGGACTCCTGATCCAACTGTGATGGTTCAAAGGTCATGTTAGGGTCCCTATGAGAGGGGGCCCGATCCAGCTGTGTCAGGAACTGCTCTAGATCCTCAAACAAATTCTCCCTGTCCAGAGTATGGGGCTCATCACTATCCAACTCCTCCTCGTTGGCATTATGGTCGTGGGAGGAGGAGATATTGAGAGAGGCGTCGGAGGACAGACTGTGACCCGTGCCAGATTTTGACACGTTCTGATGAGAGTCTGAAATCAACAAGCTCTGAGCACTGCGGGAGGGTTTCATGGGCAGGGCAGGACTTGCAGGTAGACTCTTGCTCACGATTGGATAGAGCCTGTTGTAAACTCTGTACTGGAGACTTTTCAGTAGCTTCATCACAGGGTGGTCTGGACAGCTAGGATACACAGAGCACACAACACAGAACAATACAAATTACTCCTCTATTCAAAAGGAAATTAAGTAACATTATGTTTGGCAAGATTTATGACTGCCTTGTGATGCCTCGTGTTCAGTACCTGAGAAGACATGAAACAAGGCCAGAGACCAAGGTGGCATCATCAGGATTTTTCTTGAGTTTGGCTTTCCAAAACTTGGGCCAGTCCTGTAAGTCAAACACATACACAGGATGAGGACAACTCGACAGCAGTCACTTAACCAATAACCTTCTCATTCTCTGAAAACAAACACTAAAGTTCACTTATCAACACAAAGGCTTGTCAAGTTGTCACTGAACTCTGAACTCACATGATCTTGTTCATATTCCAAAATATTTGTGTACAGAACACGTTGTTCCTGTTCTTCTGCAGTAATTGTTCCAGATGCGGCAAACCTCCTGCATACAGCACAGACACATTACTAATCTGATATATGGATGTAACTGGAGCTCAGCTCCAAGCACCACTTCAATGACTTTCATTCATACTACATATCAGAACACTTAAATCATAGGTGGATGTAAATTGAGCACTCAATGAAGGGAAATGGTTCGGGAATATTCGATACTTAACGGCAAGTACACAACTATTGGCTTTCTGTTCTGATTCTAATCCCTACAAAGTTATACTTCCGTTAGCCTGTAAAGCCATACAACTGTGATGTGTCCCGAGCTCTACTGTCAGAGGGGATGAATGAATGCTCACCTGTTGGCCTCCTCCTGCAGCCTCAGTCTCCTTTCCTCCATCTTCCTTTGGAGCTTCACACACATTAAGGAAACCTTCCCAAATGTCCACTGGATATAAACATAATATAGCAGCTCACCCCAAAGCTACATGCCTACCACCATGGGCAACCAATATTATTCATTATCTCAGAAGGTGTTTACTTTCAAACAACCAATAGGTCAATCACTATAATAGATGATATAACCCTTTAGGGTCCTCCTTGCGTGGGCTGTGGGGGTGTCCGGTACGCCAGTGCATGAGATGTCTGGAATGTGTGTTCCAAGGGTCACACGTAAGGCTCCTTGAGCCCTGATACCATCAATTGGATCCTGGTTTACTCAAGTGGATAGTCTTACCCAATAACCCCTAGACTTATATAATAACAAACTGACCCCGAAAGTCTAGCCTGACGAGTCAACAACTCACACCAAATTCTTCCGCTGCTCTGTCATTCGCTACATACTTTAGTCTGAGACTGCCATCATTAAAATCATTTGTGATAACTAGGGGCCTTGTACAAAACAAGGTCATCAGCGATTGGATCGTCTCAAACCAATCATAGTATCAAAGCCAATGACACATTTTAAAACCGCCGCTTTACCCACATGTTCTGGCTCCAGCCGAACCCACAAATCAGACGGCCCCAAATGTGTTCGCATTCGGTGAAGGGTCGTGGAGGTCCTCAGATCCAGACTCATTGCGGAGAAGAAACTAATGTCCGTGGGCGTGGCGTAGCGTTTTGCTGGAGCATTGAGGCTTGGTAGCCAGGCAACCGAAAGTCCACATTAAATTACAGAAACGAAGGATACAGCATCTTGCCTGGCCTTGGCAATAATCAGGTTCTCCATCATCTGCCTCTGAAGAGAGAGAGTCTGCAATGAAAGAAAATTAATACATGCATGTCAGATATCTCACACACAATGTAATTAGTAAATAAGACAAGTAATATTTTCCAGGAGGCAGAATTCTTGTTGAAAGGTAAACATAAAAGTTATTATCACCTCAACACTACAACCAGTATTAGCCTGAGGTCGGCTAACTGCTGGCCAATTGCATTATATATGGCTTATCAGGGTCTGAACAACGAAACGTCATAGTTTAAGGGTTGTCATTGATTGCACTCTTGAGTAGGCTACTGGAGAAGTCACTACTAGTCACCCTGCGAGTACATACGCGGAAGTCTGTGCTACATCTCTTACTGCGCGAAACGCATCATTGGAACAATTAAACTACATGGATATAAAAAAAAGTATGTGGACACCATTTTGTCATTAATATGGAGTTGGTCCCCCCTTTGCTGCTATAACAGCCTCAACTCTTCTGGGAAGGCTTTCTACTAGATGTTGGAACATTGCTATGGGGACTTGCTTCCATTCAGCCACAAGAGCATTAGTGAGGTCGGGCACTGATGTTGGACGATTAGGCCTGGCTCGCAGTCTGCATTCCAATTCATCTCAAAGGTGTTCGATGGGGTTGAGGTCAGGGCTCTGTGCAGGCCAGTCAAGTTCTTCCACACTGATCTCAACAAACCATTTCTGTATGGACCTCGCTTTGTACACGGGGGCATTGTCATGCTGAAACAGGAAAGGACCTTCCCCAAACTGTTGCCACAAAGTTGGAAGCACAGCATCGTCTAGAATGTCATTGTATGCTGACTTCCCTTCACTGGAACTAAGGAGCCTAGCCCGAACCATGAAAAACAGCCCCAGACCATTATTCCTCCTCCACCAAACTTTACAGTTGGCAATATGCATTGGGCAGGTAGCGTTCTCCTGGCATTCGCCAAACCCAGATTCGTCCGTTGGACTGCCAGATGGTGAAGCGTGATTCATCACTCCAGAGAATGCGTTTCCACTGCTCCAGAGTCCAATGGCGGTGAGCTTTACACCACTCCAACCAACGTTTGGCATTGCACATGGTGATCTTAGACTTGTTGTGCGGCTGCTCTGCCATGGAAACCCATTTCATGAAGCTTCCGATGAACAGTTCTTGTGCTGACGATGCTTTCAGAGGCAGTTTTTCGGTAGTGAGTATTGCAACCGAGGACAGACGATTCAGCACTCAGCGGTCTCATTCTGTAAGCTTGTGTGGCCTACCACTTCGCGGCTGAGCCGTTGTTGCTCCTAGACATTTCCACTTCACAATAACAGCACTTACAGTTGACCGGGGCAGCTCTAGCAGGGCAGAAATTTGATCAACTGACTTATTGGAAAGGTGACATCCTATAATGGTGCCACGTTGAAAGTCACTGAGCTCTTCAGTACGGGCCATTCTACTGCCAATGTTTGTCTATGGAGATTGCATGGCTGTGTGCTCGATTTTATATACCCGTCAGCAACGGGTGTGGCTGAAATAGTCAAATCCACTCATTTGAAGGGGTGTCCACATACCTTTGGCCATGTAGTGTCCCTTCACAAATTCCTATAGTCTTTTCCAGTGAGACCGCAGATCCATGTGGCCGTTATGTCGCTGGAACATTCTTGGCATCTAAATCATGGAATCTTTTTTTTTTTTTTTACCTACTAAAACGCTTGGGAACTAAGTAAAAATAGTGTTGACATGACAATGCGACCAGTGTCCCTTAAAGTGCCCCCGAAATACTGACTATTATTTTTATTTATTTTTACCCCAACGTTCTCTCCCCAATTTCGTGATATCCAAATTGGTAGTTACAGTCTTGTCCCATCCCTGCAACTCCCCTACGGGAGAGGCGAAGGTCAAGGAACATGCGTCCCCCGAAACACGACCCTGCCAAGCCGCACTGCTTCTTGACACACTGCTCGCTTAACCCGGACGCCAGCCGCACCAATGTGTCGGAGGAAACACCGTCCAACTGGCGACCGTATCAGCATGCATACGCCCGGCCCGCCACAGGAGTCGTAGAGCACGATGGGACAAGGACATCCCAGCCGGCCAAACACTCCCCTAACCCGGACGACGCTGGGCCAATTGTGCGCCGACTGGGTCTCCCAGTCGCGGCCGGCTGCGACACAGCCTGGGATCGAACCCAGATCTGTAGTGACGCCTCTAGCACTGCGATGCAGTGCCTTAGACCGCTGCACCACTCGGGAGGATGTATACTCACTATTTCTGAGAAGAACATTTGTTTCGGTTTTATGACTACCGGTATGATAAATTAACACAAGAAAAAACTGCACGCTGTAGTTTTTATTCTGACCGTATCTTGCCTCAATCTCTAACCTTCACGGAGTCACTAATCCTATTAATTCAACTGGAAGGTCAGGATCCAGCAAACGCGCCAAATAAACTCCAAACGTACCTGATCACCTTGAAGATGAAGGTGCGTGACCGAGGTCAAATTAGTTTTAGCCTATATTGGATATTCGGTTCTCTCGTCAATAGCTATTGAACCAAGCATAATAATAATAATAATAATAATAATAATAATAATAATAATAATAATCCATTTAGCAGACGCTTTTATCCAAAACGACTAACAGTCATGCGTGCATACATTATTTTTTTGTGTGTATGGGTGGTCCCTGGGATCGAACCCACTACCCTGGCGTTACAAGCACCGTGCTCTACCAGCTGAGCTACAAACATGCCATGACTATGAAGATGGTATACTCTGAATCAGGGGTGGAAGGAGAACAATCCACAGCTTAAATAAATAAATACAATATTTCAGATTTCAATCTTCAATAGCTCTTACACAAAGCATGCCATGACTATGAAAATGATCTATTCTGAATCGGGGAGGATGGACAGAAATCCATGGCTTTTTGTTGTTGTAGAATAAAAAATAAAAAAAATAAAAAATCTGCGTTCAATTTTCAATAGCTCTTAGACAAAGCGTGCCATGACTATGAAAATAATAATCTAACCCCCCCAATTAATATCCATTATGATCTAATGTTACCTCGGTAGGGGCGTGAACCTTGTATGGATTTGCATGCCACTAGTCACGTGCACGCATGTGATTGTGCTTCAATGGAAAGCCCAGAGTATTCTATTTAACAAAGATAGATACAGGAGTCAATGATGTACACTTGCGTCCAGCATAAATAATTAATTATCTTCTTTCCATGTTATCAGTCGACTTCATTTGAAGCTGGTTTCTGCTGGTCTACATATAACATAACAGGGTCACAGAACTGAGGGACATCATTTAGGTGGAAGAAACATGAGGCTGAGCTCTTCTTCTCTGATAGAATGGTGTTCGCACTAATTTAACGTGCATGTCGCTACCTACTTTACGGGTAGTGAACTGGATACTTTTTTTATCCATTGCGGAATGGTTAAATAAAACGACATCACACAAAAGACAAAATTAGATAAATAAAAAAAACATCCCACTTCTTCAGTCATAGTCCAATCCAAATCACATCCCTACACAGGCTCAGGGGCCTGGGAGTGGGGGGGGATAATCTTCAGTCAGTATTCCCTGCAATGTTTCAGTTGTTAATTCCTGAATACCCAAATACCTTGCAGCCGCAGATACAATTATGTCCAGTTTCTTGTACTTCTTGTTCGATTGGGCAGTACAATTAATCACTTGCACAATAAACGCCACAAAATCCACCTCCTTCACTAACAATGTATCTGTATCCTTCAACTGGTGAACGACCTGCTGTACAGCCCAGATCCGTGCCACTTCAAACTCCTTCACCCTAGCAAAGCACTCCGGGAATTCGGCAACGTGATTTCCACCACAATTGCAACTCCGTAGATCATCACATTCTTCACCAATATATTGATTTCGTCAGAACACACTTGATACATTTTGCAATTTCGGCACTTCACAAACGCTCTTACTGCGTATCTTACGTATCCCAGCTTCACATGAGTAGGCAGATACTTCTTCAAACATCAGTAAAACCGATTGACTTTCCTCCTTCTTTCCATCTACTACACGGTTTAGGCGACATGCTTTAACCACTCCTGGAATCTTCTGCATAATATAACTAACCACAATGTCCAAAAAGACTCCAGATATAACACCTTTTATCGGTGCTGAAGAACTGTAATATCCAATGTTTCTCGGTGTCGTGGCTGAACAAGGACAATATACATCTAGCTGGTTTTTCTATGAATCAGCAGGACAGAACGGCAGCGTCGGGTAAGCTCAAGGGGAAGGTGTGTGTGTCTTTGTTAACAACAGATGGTGCGCAATCTCTGATATTAAAGGAAGTCTCGAGGTTCTGCTCGCCTGAGTTAAAATACTTAATGATAAGCTGTAGACCATAAGATTTACCAAGAGAGTTTTCATCTATATTTTTTGTAGCTGTCTATTTACCACCACAAACCGATGTTGGCGCACTCAACGAGCTGTATAGGGCAATAAGCAAACAAGAAAATGCTCATCCAGAGCCGGTGATTTTAATGCATGAAAACTGAAATCTGTCTTACCTCATTTCTACCATCATGTCACCTGTGTAACTAGAGGTGAGAAAACTGTAGATCACCTTTACTCCACACACAGAAATGCATACAAAGCTCTCACTCGCCCTCCATTTGGCAAATCTGATCATAACGCTATCCTCCTGATTCCTGCTTACAAGCAAAAACTCAAAACAAGAAGTACTAGTGACGCGCTCAACACAGAAAGTCAGATGAAGCTGATACTAAACTACAGGACTGTTTCGCTAGCACCTGGATTCATCCGATGGCATTGAGGAGTTTACCACATCAGTCTTCATTAATAAGTGCATCGACGACGTCGTCCCTACAGTGACCGTATGTACAAATCCCAACCAGAAGCCATGGATTACAGGCAACATTCACACTCAGCTAAAGGCTAGAGAAGTCGCTTTCAAGGAGTGGGACACTAATCCGGATGCTTATAAGAAATCCCGCTACGACCTCAGACGAACCATCAAACAGGCAAAGCTTCAATACAGGACTAAGATCGAATCCTACTACACCGGCTCTGACACTTGTCAGATGTGGCAGGCCTTGCAAACTATCACAGATTTCAAAAGGGAAACCCAGCCACGAGCTGCCCAGTGACACGAGCCTATCAGACGAGCTAAATGCCTTTTATGCTCGCTTTGAGGCAAGCAACACTGAACCATTTGTGAGAGCACCAGCTGTTCTGGACAACTGTGTGATCACATTCTCTTAAAACAGGTTAACATCACAAGGCTGCAGGGCCAGACTGATTACCAGGACACTTACTCAGAGCATGCGCTGACCAGCTGGCAAGTGTCTTCACTAACATTTTCAACCTCTCCCTGACCCAGTCTAATACCTACATGTTTCAAGCAGACCACCATAGTCCCTGTGCCCAAGAACACCAAGGTAACCTGTCTAAATGACTATCGCCCCATAGCACTCACATCTGTAGCCATAAAATGCTTTGAAAGGCTGGTCATGGCTCACATCAACAACATAATCCCAGACACCCTTGACCCACTCCAATTCGTATACCGCCCAAACGGATCCACAGATGAAGCAATCTCTATTGCACTCCATACTGCCCTTTCCCACCTGGACAAGAGGAACACCTATGTAAGAATGCTGTTAATTGACTACAGCTCAGCGTTCAACACCACAGTGCCCTCCAAGTTTATCACTAAGCTAAGGATCCTGGGACTGAACACCTCCCTCTGCAACTGGATCCTGGACTTCCTGACAGGCCGCAACCAGGGGGTGAGGGTAGGCAACAACAGCCGCCAAGCTGACCCTCAACACGGGGGCCCCTCAGGGGTGCGTGCTTAGTCCCCTCCTATACTCCCTGTTCACCCACGACTGCGTGGCCGTGCACGACTCCAACACCATCATTAGGTTTGCTGACGACACAACAGTGGTAGGCCTGATCACGGACAACAATGAGACAGCCTATAGGGAGGAGGTCAGAGACCTGGCAGTGTGTTGCCAGGGTAACCACCTCTCCCTCAACGTCAGCAAGACAAAGAAGCTGATCGTGGACTATAGGATACGGAGGGCTGAGCACACCCCCATTCACATCAACAGGGCTGTTGTGGAGCGGGCAGAGAGCTTCAAGTTCCTCGGTGTCCACTTCACTAAGGATCTATCATGGTCCACTCACACCAATATAGTTGTGAAGAGGGCACGACAACGCCTCTTCTCCCTCAGGAAGCTGAAAAGATTTGGCATGGGCCCTCAGATCCTCTAAAAGTTCTACAGCTGCACCATTGATAGCATCTTGACTGGCTGGATCACCGCGTGGCATGGCAACTGCATGGCATCTGACCGCAAGGTGCTACAGAGGGTAGTGCGTATGGCCCAGTACATCACCGGGGCCGAGCTCCCTGTCATCCAGGACCCCTATACCAGACGGTGTCAGAGGAAAGCCCTAAATATTGTCCAAGACTCCAGCAACCCAAGTCATAGACTGTTCTCTCTGCTACTGCACAGCAAGCGTTACCGATGCACCAAGTCGGGAAACAACAGGACCCTGAACAGCTTCTACCCCCAAGCTATAAGACTGCTAAATAGTTAGTTAAATAATTAACCAAATAGCTACCCGGACTATCTGCATTGACCCTTTTTGCTCATCACATACACTGCTGCTACAGTTACTGTTTAGTATCTGTCCTGTGGACTATTCACTTTATTCTTAGTTATATGTACTGATGGGTTCTGACTTCTAAACTTGAAATATCCTTATTGATGTTACTCTGGGAGAGGGGAATGCAGAAAGTTTACATTCTGTCAGAACATGTTATTGTTAGATATTAGGTATCTTATGGAGAGGAGAAGGGCCACAGTCTGGTTTCAGTTGTTGGGTTGTAATTTGAAATACTTGCTACACCAGAAGTTAATGGTTATATGTAGGAGGAATGGTGGGCTTGGAATGTTACTAAGTAAGGGAAATGGCTTTGGTTGGTTGCGGTCACTGATAAGGTTGGATAGCTGTGGATTAGTGAGGAATGGGGACCGAGGTCAGGTCACATGAAGGGAGAAGGAACAGTTTATTACCCACATCACTTAACTCCTGCCTAGCAACAAAGATGTAATGTTTAGAGAAAAGGAGGAGACTCTGCCTAAGGTGGGGTATAAATACTTGTGCTGGTGGGAACATGTCTTTGTCTTATGCAGCTGTGTGACCCAGTGGGTGAATAAACTTGGATTGAGCTTTTTCTAGTTGTCCGTTAGGTTCTAAATAAACAGAGTAAAAACGAACAGTACATATCTACTCAATTACCTTGTACCCCTGCACATCGACTCGGTACTGGTACCCCGTGAATATAGCCAAGTTATCGTTATTCATTGTGTATTTATGATTACTTTTCTAATATTTTCTCTATTTTCTTTCTCTCTGCATTGTTGGGAAGTGCCCGTAAGTAAGCATTTCACTGTTAGTCCACACCTGTTGTTTACGAAGCACGTGACAAATAAAATTTGATTTGATTGCGCCGAAAATAAAAAGCTCTCCATTTCAGATTTTGATCATTTATAGAGCCACAATGCCTTCTCCTTCTGCTCTTTTGAGACGCAGGAAATCAAAACAAAACCACTCCTGGTCCCTCTGACTGACTGCCTTTCTTAATGCCTCCTTTAAAATCTTTGTGACCTCAAATGGATCATTGTTGATGAATTGCACTCCTACCAGGAACCGAAGTTAGTTTACAACTTTGCTCTTTTTGCTCCATTTTCGTTATCACCGTCTTCCATTCATTCTCAACGACTTCACTCAAACGCGCGCCATCAGAATCAACCAGCACTTCCGCCATCTTCCCTCCTGAGCGCTCGTTGGGTCCAACTTTGATTTTATACCAACATCAGATGGTACTCGTGTGTGTGTGTGTGTGTGTGTGTGTGTGTGTGTGTGTGTGTGCATGTGTCTCAAATGTACAGTATATGTAGTGAATATAACAGCGGTGTGGATTTCATAACCTTTCTGCTTTACTTTGTATTAAACTGGGATAAATTGAGGGATCTTCTTAGTAAACTGGCTGCCATTTTCATTCTGAGTTTAATACTGTGTGTCATATTACAGTAGAACAACAAAGCAAAAAAGAAAGGTTGTGAAATCCACATAGCTGTTAAATCCACTACATAAAAGTTTGACACACACACACACACATTGTTCAACTCAATGTGGTGTGTGGTGTCTGTTTGGTACAAGTGACATAATAACACACAAACACTGACCAGAGATGTCTTCTGTGTACGGGCCTGAGCAGGGGGCAGTCGGGCCAGACGAGCTTCATAATTTGCTTTCAACTTCTGGTTCAACCGTGATGCCTCCTCTATGGGTGTAAGCTCCCTTTCATATACACAAAAACATTTTACAAAATGTTTAGTCACATGTTAACAAAGGTTTAAAATGTAGCAAGTCTACGACTGGGGTGGGCATACAATGTGCATTTCAGTTCTGTAGTATTAAAATACTCTGCATTAATAAACTCTGTATTAAAGGAGTTACATGTACAATTTTTGCATTGTAATTTCAGAAAATGTCCATAATATACACTGAGTGTACAAAACATTACGCCTCTTTCCATGAGGGACTGACCAGGTGAAAGCTATGATCCCTTATTGATGTCACTTGTTAAATCCACTTCAACCAATGTAGACGAAGGGGAGGAGACAGGTTAAAGAAGGATTTTAAAGCCTTGAAACATTGATTGTGTATATGTGCCATTCAGAGGGTGAATGGGCAAGACAAAATATTTAAGTGCCTTTGAACGGGGTATGGTAGTAGGTGCCAGGCGCACCGGTTTGAGTGTTTCAAGAACTGCAACGCTGCTGGGTTTTTCACGCTCAACAGTTTCCTGTGTGTATCAAGAATGGTCCACCACCCAGAGGACATCCAGCCAACTTGACACAACTGTGGGAAGCATTGGAGTCAACATGGGCCAGCATCCCTTTCGGCACCTTGTGGAGTCCATGCCCCAATGAATTGAGGCTGTTCTGAGGACAAAGGAGGGTGCAACTCAATATTAGGAAGCTGTTCTGTTTTGTACGTTCAGTGTATCTGCAGTAATAGCGGAATTTGATTCACAAAATTGTAGCCTTCCTATTTCACAACAAAAGATGGTCTGCCTCTTGTTGTCAAATGGGAAAGCTGCACCCTCCCACTCTTCCATCAGCATCATGCAGAGGCTTGGTAATGTGGGGATCTTTTTCTTGTAACTGGATGTGATACCTAGCTTAGAAAGAATGCATTAATGATTAAACATAAAAGGTTTGTACTGTACTGATTTAAATTGTTTAACCTAACAAGCTGTGATTAATGTGAGGAGCTGTTTTAGGGAGTAGGGGGAGATAAGAACTTGTGTCTCAAAATATTAGACTACACTGCCTCTTTGTTGTCTGTGAACCGTCCAAGGACGTAGGTAGAAGGAGTACAGGGGAACAGTGTCTATGGGTGATGACTCTACAGGTTGTGATGATAACAAACTTATGCCTGGCAACAGTGTGCAACAGTGGAGCGCCAAGGGGCTGAGACCAGCCTGTGCGCCAACGATTGGCTGAGTAAGTCTAAACCGCGCTCAGTCTCTACTCTGATTGGCCAGCAGGGAGCGGGAACTATCTCTGTCAGAGTATTTTAAGAAGAACTCATAACAATGGCTTAGTTCTCTGAGTGCCCTGCGTGGTATTTCAGTGGACCCGTATATACGAACATCATATTTACCATTGAAGTGGTTTGCATTAATTAAAATACTAGTTTATTTTAGAAGACGTGTATTGACCTCTTTTGTTCCAAATACCAGATTTGAATTGACGCAACTTAACAGTAATCTCCTCAGGAGCAGAATCAACAACGGCAGACTTGGGTAGTAGAATTCTCTCTGCCATTTATTTTAATGTCAGTTTATGAGACAAAACAAGTATAGTGTAGAGAATCATTGTACCATCTAAACCGATGTGAAATATATTTTAAATAAACAAAAATATTGTATTTTCAGCTGTTTGAAGCTGGTGTACAAAACAAAGTAAAAAGATGCAAAAGTGGGGAGGGGACAGGGAGTAAAGCCAGGAAAGGGGGAGAATTGTTTGAATTCAGGTTGTGTTGTTGCAATTCGCCTAGTTTTCACAAGGGGGCTGCATTCTACACGTAGATTATTTAATCAACTGCCTCTGACAATGTAACACATTTTTACAGTGACAACCATTCTCTAATAAGAGTTGACTTCTGATGTAGGCGTCTCATGAATACTGTAAACAGAGTCCTTCTGCTGTCACGGATGGGCTATTTATATTTCCCATTTGTCCCCTGATTGTTTAGTCCTCAGTTTCTCTGATAACTCACTTTCTGGTGTCCTGTGACTTCACTGTCTGCAACCTCTGGAAGACTTCTGGGGGCAGGAAGGGGGAGAAATCCCCTCCACCCTCAGAGAGAACTCTGCGGTGTCCAGGCCTGGGGTTATGTTTAGGCCCTGAGTCAATAAACATCTCTTGTGGTTGTGGCAAAACTGGAGGAGGGACAGGAGGATGATACATTTAGGAAAAAAGTCATTTGAAAAACGTTGCAAAATATGAGGATAAATATATTTACCAATCTTTCCAGGGCTTACTGCAACAGATGGGGCTAAGGCTGTGGTCAGGCTGAGTGCTGCTGAGTTGGTAGGTGTGGTGGTGGAGGAGGGAGGGGTAGGGGGTTCATCTCTCTTTCCTATGAAGTACTTGGCTCTCTCCAAACACTGCTCAGCCAGCCTCAACATATTTTCCACCTCTACTGCTACCATCTCCCCCTCCTCTGGGTGAGGAAAGAGAAAATAAAAATAGCAGTTATACAAACTTAATTAAAACAATCAATGCTAAGAACTGATTATATTTCCAAATCTACATGGGAGTACAACTTCAAGGTTGACATAGTCATGACGTGTCGTTGTTTAGTTTAGGAGGGAGTAAAGGTATTCAAATGAATCAATGTGAGGGCATCCTGTGCTTCTTTACTTGTTGTCTACAAACAAACAAACCCACTAAACTAAACTCATCAAAAAAATAAAACGTCCTCTCACTGTCAACTGCGTTTATTTTCAGCAAACTTAACATGTGTAAATATTTGTATGAACATAACAAGATTCAACAACTGAGACATAAACTGAACAAGTTCCATAGACATGTCTAACAAAAATGGAATAATGTGTCCCTGAACAAAGGGGGGGTCAAAATCAAAAGTAACAGTCAGTATCTGGTGTGGCCACCAGCTGCATTAAGTACTGCAGTGCATCTCCTCCTCATGGACTGCACCAGATTTGCCAGTTCTTGCTGTGAGATGTTACCCCACTTCCACCAAGGCACCTGCAAGTTCCCTGACATTTCTGGGGGGAATGGCCCTAGGCCTCACTCTCCGATCCAACAGGTCCCAGACATGCTCCATTGGATTGAGATCCGGGCTCTTCGCTGGCCATGGCAGAACACTGACATTCCTGTCTTGCAGGAAATCACGCACAGAACGAGCAGTATGGCTGGTGCATTGTCATGCTGGAGGGTCATGTCAGGATGAGCCTGCAGGAAGGGTTCCACATGAGGGAGGAGGATGTCTTCCCTGTAACGCACAGCGTTGAGATTGCCTGCAATGACAACAAGCTCAGTCCGATGATGCTGTGACACACCGCCCCAGTCCACGACGTACCCTCCACCTCGATCCCGCTCCAGAGTACAGGCCTCGGTGTAACGCTCATTCCTTCAACGATAAACGCGAAGCCGACCATCACCCCTGGTGAGACAAAACCACGACTCGTCAGTGAAGAGCACCTTTTGCCAATCCTGTCTGGTCCAGCGACGGTGGGTTTGTGCCCATAGGCGACGTTGTTGCCGGTGATGTCTGGTGAGGACCTGCCTTACAACAGGCCTACAAGCCCTCAGTCCAGCCTCTCTCAGCCTATTGCGGACAGTCTGAGCACTGATGGAGGGATTGTGCGTTCCTGGTGTAACTCAGGCAGTTGTTGTTGCCATCTTGTACCTGTCCCACAGGTGTGATGTTCAGATGTACCGATCCTGTGCAGGTGTTGTTACACGTGGTCTGCCACTGCGAGGACGATCAGCTGTCCGTCCTGTAGCGCTGTCTTAGGAGTCTCACAGTACGGACATTGCAATTTATTGCCCTGGCCACATCTGCAGTTCTCATGCCTCCTTGCAGCATGCCTAAGGAACATTCACGCAGATGAGCAGGGACCCTGGGCATCTTTCTTTTGGTGTTTTTCAGAGTCAGTAGAAAGGCCTCTTTAGTGTCCTAAGTTTTCATAACTGTGACCTTAATTGCCTACCATCTGTAAGCTGTTAGTGTCTTAACGACCGTTCCACAGGTGCATGTTCATTAATTGTTTATGGTTCATTGAACAAGCACAGGAAACAGTGTTTAAACCCTTTACAATGAAGATCTGTGAAGTTATTTAGATTTTTACAAATTATCTTTGAAAGACAGGGTCCTGAAAAAGGGAAGTTTCTTTTTTTGCTGAGTTTACTACTCCAGGACTTATTTAATGTCCAACCTCCGGAAACAATTTTCTAAATTCTAAAAGACAGCCCAATTTGTCCACTAATTGGTCTTTTGACCAATCTGATCAGCTCTGAAGAAGATCTGATGTGACTGGTCAAAAGAGCAGAATTGGGCTGCCTGTGTAAACGCAGCCGTGGAGAAAAACATACATCATGGTATGAGCAGCATCTTGACTGAGCTCAGATGTATTTATTCTTTATGCTCAGCGGCTGCGTTTAGACAGGCAGCCCAATTCTGATCTTTTTACCACTAATTGGTCTTTGACCAATCACATCAGATATTTTCACGTCAGATCTTTTTCAGAGCTGATTTGATCGGTCAAAAGACCAATTAGTGAAGAAAATATCAGAATTGGGCTGCCTGTCTAAACACAGCCAGTGACTGCCATAAAGATGTAGTTGCAGTCCCATCTTGAACGCATCAGAACTCTCATTTTCAGAGCACATCTTGAATGAAAGGAGATATATTTATGAATTGTCCATTATTTAGTTTTGCATAATGGAATATAGTCCAGGTCTCATCTTACTTCCTGATACAGCATCCTCCAGAAGAACATGGGAGATGAAGTTGATACTTCTCAAGTATTCACAGTAAGCTTCCTAGAGAGAAAAAGTAAGCTGTAAAACTTCCAACAGTAGAAACATAATAGCATTACATCATAGAGATAGAACATTATCACATAATACCAAAAGGGCAACTACTGTAACAAATGATATTGCCGCTGTTACATTCTTATTATTTTACAACGATGATGACATAGTGAAAATATTGTTATAAAATATGTTGCCACAGCAGAGAGAAGAGTATGATTGCAGCCCGCAATTCGGGGCGTTCCTGCATCTACTTCTATAGGTCAATTTTTAAACTAGGACACCGCTAGTTAGGCGCAGTGTTGCCAATTTAGCGACTTTTTCACTATATTTAGTGAGTATTCAGACCCCTCTAGCAACACATTTTCAAAAAAGCAACTAGCGACAAATCTAGCGACTTTTTCTGGTGTTATTGGAGACTGATGTGAAAGCACGTATCGTTCTTACTCTTCTCAACGAGCAGCGGTGCTGCCGTGGGCCCCACCCCCGTCCCCGTCCCCGTCCCCGTCCCTGTCCCTGTCCCCGTCCCTGTCCCCTTCCCCGTCCCCGTCCCCGTCCCCGTCCCAAAGCACTCACAGGCGGCCCAGTCCTCGCGCAGCAGTACCTCCCAGCTGCAGTCAGAGCAGGAGATGTTCACCCCTCCGCGTCCAGACTGCAAATGAATCACACATGCGGGAAGCCGCCGCTGGCTGATCCCGCCCTGGCTTACATTCCCGCAGTTCTGTTAACGTTACATGCTGACCACACCGGCCGCGTTGCGTGCATGAGCATTGCAAAATAAATGTACACATACAGTTGAAGTCGGAAGTTTACATACACTTAGGTTGGAGTCATTAAAACTCGTTTTTCAACCACTCCACAAATTTCTTGTTAACAAACTATAGTTTTGGCAAGTCGTTTAGGACATCTACTTTGTGCATGACACAAGTAATTTTTCCAACAATTGTTTACAGACAGATTATTTCACTTATAATTCACTGTATCACAATTCCGGTGGGTCAGAAGTTTACATACATTAAGTTGACTGTGCCTTTAAACAGCTTGGACAATTCCAGAAAATGATGTCATGGCTTTAGAATCTTCTCATAGGCTAATTGACATCATTTGAGTCAATTGGAGGTGTATATTCCTACCTTCAAACTCTGTGCCTCTTTGCTTGACATCATGGGAAAATCAAAAGAAAATCAGCCAAGACAGCAAAAAAATTGTAGACCTCCACAAGTCTGGTTCATCCTTGGGAGCAATTTCCAAACGCCTGAAGGTACCATCTGTACAAACAATAGTACGCAAGTATAAACACCATGGGACCACACAGCCGTCATACCGCTCAGGAAGGAAACGCGTTCTGTCTCCTAGAGATGAACGTACTTTGGTGCGAAAAGTGCAAATAAATCCCAGAACAACAGCAAAGGATCTTGTGAAGATGCTGGAGGAAACAAGTATATCCACAGTAAAATGAGTCCTATATCGACATAACCTGAAAGGCCGCTCAGCAAGGAAGACGCCACTGCTCCAAAACCACCATAGAAAAGCCAGACTACGGTTTGCAACTGCACATGGGGACAAAGATCGTACTTTTTGGAGAAATGTCCTCTGGTCTGATCAAACAAAAATATAACTGTTTGGCCATAATGACCATCGTTATGTTTGGAGGAAAAGGGGGAATGCTTGCAAGCAGAAAAACACCATCCCAACCATGAAGCACGGGGGTGGCAGCATCATGCTGTGGGGGTGCTTTGCTGCAGCAGGGCCTATTGCACTTCACAAAATAGATGGCATCATGAGGAAGGAAAATTATGTGGATATATTGAAGCAATATCTCAAGACATCAGTCAGGAAGTTAAAGCTTGGTCACAAATGGGTCTTCCAAATGGACAATGACCCCAAGCATACTTCCAAAGTTGTGGCAAAATGGCTTAAGGACAACAAAGTCAAGGTATTGGAGTGGCCATCACAAAGCCCTGACCTCAATCCTATAGAACATTTGTGGGCAGAACTGAAAAAACGTGTGCGAGCAAGGAGGCCTACAAACCTGACTCAGTTACACCATCTCTGTCAGGAGGAATGGGACAAAATTCACCCAACTTATTGTGGGAAGCTTGTGGAAGGCTGACCGAAACGTTTGACCAAAGTTAAACAATTTAAAGGCAATGCTACCAAATACTAATTGAGTGTATGTAAACTTCTGGCCCACTGGGAATGTGATGAAAGAAATAAAAGCTGAAATAAATCATTCTCTCTACTATTATTCTGACATTTCACATTCTTAAAATAAAGTGGTGATCCTAACTGACCTAAGACAGGGAATTTTTACTAGGATTAAATGTCAGGAATTGTGAAAAACTGAGTTTAAATAATGTCTTTGGCTAAGGTGTATGTAAACTTCCGACTTCAACTGTACATGTTACTCAATAATTTCATCCTAACTGCTCGCGAGCGTCTGTGTAGCCAGGTGCTAAAATAGAACTTGGTTCTATTTTAGACGCTTGATGCGCTGCAAGTCCTGCCTCTCCCATCTCCTCATTGGTTTTTAGGCTCATATACCCTCGTGGGTGATTGAAAGGTGAATGAGGTCCACACAAAAAAAACGTAACAGAGAGCAATGTATAATATGGCAAACTTAGCCAACAAGGCATTTGTTGTAAATGCATGGGGGCTGTC